TTATTTATCTTTTATTTGTGTCTTTTTTCTTTCTGCTTTTACCTTTCCACTTCTCCAAATTGTGTAATGACCCTCATAAATATCCGATTGCTATTGTCTTCAAAACAATGTAAACTAAAGGTTTCTGCATATTTACTGATTATTTAATTTTCGTGGATAATTAATCGTGTATTTAATGTTCGATATTCGCGTTGCATTAATGTCTGGAGGAGCCTCGTGTTCAGCTATGATTTTGATTGATGATTGGAGTCTGCTGCTACGTGAAGATTAATAACTCTCTCTCTCACACACACACATTTACTTCCTTCATTCACACGCAGATTTACTCTCTCTCTCGCTTCATCTCGTGATCGTCTGCCTTGTGTTTTGTTGGGAAACTAAACATCATTCAGATTCAACCATTGTTTACCAAACACGACAATAAAATTAGCGTTTCGTTTATATAAATATTTTCTGCGAGAATCGCACGCGAATGTTTTATTATTATTGTTATGTAAGATGAATTGCACATACAATACACGAGCTCTGTAAATAGTAAACAACATCGACTGCGACGACGACAACGACAACTCATTGGAATCAAGTAAACATTTGTTTTCTTTCAATTCACAGACCGACAAAAAAAAAATACATAAATGTCTGCTACTACATTTCAAGGTATTTTCCTTGGCTCTGCATTTCATAATTTTATTAACAATTGACCACAATTGAATATTATTGGCTGATCGTTCCTTTTCTAGTTATTTGTGTCGTTGAGCAAATATCGGGCTTTAATATTTTTTATTAACTAAATTTTATTACAAGGTTTTCTTCGTTTATTTATTACAAAATTCAAGAACAAATTTATTATTTTTTTATAACATTCTATCTCACTCTATTATTAACTTACACTTTACTTAGAAGGCTGTGAAACTATGCTATTATTATTTAGTATGTTTAGCTTTGAAAAGTTTGTAATTTAATATTAGTATAAGCATTCACATTTAATAATTGCATTAATGAAGTCTGTTTTTTTTTTGTAAGATTTTAAAGTATAATTATGTTCGTTTATGCTTCTTGAGTAAAAGGAAGCTTAAATTGGGAAATGAAGAGGGGAAACAGCTTCAATTAATTATATAAATTTTGGCGTATCGATTGGTTGTAGTTCATTACGGTGCGCTGGAAACGACGGTGCGAGGTGCATGCATATGCCAATGTCATAATAATAAATCCTGGATGCCGTCGACTTGCTTAAACTGTAAACCAATTATTTCGGTGTGTCAATTAACGAGTGGCGCCCATATTAATATTAAGAAGGGCTTTAATAATAAAGTTCGGAGCGGAACGAAGATTTATTGTAATGGCCGTTGATTAACATTAACGCTTCCATTTTGCAACGTCGACATCCTCCACCGAAATGTGCATGATGCCAAATCCTGCGGGACTGCATCATGATCACCTCGTGATTGTCTTTCTTCCTACTCCTGTTAACATCATCAGCAATCATTTCCCTTGTGAAAACAAAGAGGCAAACAGAGAAAGTGTGGCAAAGCGCAAAATGCATCTAGTTTATAGCTGGTAAACAATAACGTCGGTCTAGTAATAACAACAACGAGTTTATATTTGTTGTTGTTGATGGCTCGCAAAAACAAATCAATTAAAGCTCGTGGTCCGCGTTTATTGTTCTTGGAATGCGTCCAGGTTGAAGACGGAGCGTACAACTGGAAAGTGAACTAAGCTAAGCCTCCGTACTTTAGTCTGCATGCCAATGTGTATGTTTGAGTATGTGTGTTTGTATATGTGTACGTTGTATGGAGTGGTGTGAGTGCGCGTCCGCCGTTGGAGATAGCTGCAAAATGCAAAATCGGGTTAAAAATAGCCACGAAACGAGTGCACGATAGTATTTTTAATGCGCTAACTGTATATTTAGAATGTCCTTGATGAGCGGCACATATGCGTGTGTATATGTGTACAGCCATAAAGCAAGTGTGACATAACGCTTCGATGTGGTTTGAAACGTTGGAAAAATCTGACTGGTATCATCATCACTCGCCTCCCGGCGAAAAACGAAAGTGAAGACATCAAAAAAGATGCCTTTTTTCTTTCATAGTTACTTTATACATTCTTTTATTAATTATATTAATTTCATACTTATATTATTGGTCTACTTTAATTTCTTGGAATCAATTGGAAAATGTATATTTAAATGCGATAATAAACCGATAATAAATTATCGGACAAGTGATACAAATAGAAATGAAAAGTTAATTTTATTTACTGAAACAATTTGAGATTTGACAAACAATGAATAGTAGCAATATTTCTATAAAAATATTATCAAATTGTTAGTTTAATGAGTTTAATAATTATATTTAACAAAATATACTAGAATTTTTCAAAATGTGAAATTGAATTATTCACTAATTATAAAATAATGGTATAAATTCATATGTTTACTAAATTTAATAAAATATGCAACAGAAAATGACTTTTCAGAAGGAAATTTAAGGAAAATTTGACTGAAAACACGAGTTTATGGAGTATTAATTATTTAAAATTTTCAATTAAATATGAAATATTTCAACAATGATTGAAGGGATTCGATGAATAAAATCCTTTTAATCGTATTAAATATTAGCTCGCCTTTAATGTAATTACTGCTAAAAGTGTAAACTTGAGAAGTTCGAGAAGTGAATCAATATTCCAAACTCTCGAATATAATTGAGCCATTAAAGAAAATAATCAGCGTATTTTTTTTTAAACTAAACATTTAATTATTTTGATTTAAATCTAGTATTGACCTATATTGCCATTACGTAATTGAGCGGATTGTGAAAAGAAACAGCTTAAGAATATATTTTTTTAAATTATTCATTGCCATGATTAAGGATATTTGAAAAGGAACAATTCAAGTATACATTTGCTGTGAATAAGGATATTTCTGCACTCGGTCATTTCCTGTTGTCATGAAAATCCGCAGTGGCAAAAATATACGTTCATAATTTAATCAACCGTAGGAGTAGTAATAATTCGTCCGTCCAGGATGGAAAAATCGCCTCAATTATTCCATGCATATTCCGCGCGTGACCCCTTTTTTTATTTATTTATTTCCTTTCCTTCATCTTCCTCCAATCCTCCATTCATTCTTATTAGTGTAACAGTAACTCGTGGTTCGTGGCCTGGATCGTAGAAGATCGTTGCATAACTCGCGGCGAGCGGCACATAAAGAGAACGCATTTCTGGAAACCGTTCCAAGTTCTTCGCGGAAATTTAATAACTCCGAAATGTCAAAAAGCTTTCTTTGTACATAAGCGCAAAATTAAAATTGTTGTATTAAGTTGTCGCTTTTTTCATTTAATTTTACACTCTTTCGTAAGATTAATAAAACGAAAGTGTACGTACGCGCTTATCTCGTGGCAAAGTAAATTCGATAACACTTCGGTGACCCCAGTAATGCAAGCAAGATTCATAAGAATACTGACTGCAAATTGATTCAATATTAATATGTATTTAAAGTCATGTAACCTAGTAATGTTTGACAAGTTTAGCTTAGAACTATTGATACAAGTAGAAGAATTGTTTTAGAATCAGGAATTGGAACTTGCGGCGATTGTTTGCATAAATTGTAGAACATTATTTATTAGTTGCAAAGGCAAAGACAATTAATTTGCTGCGCGTTATTGACTCGTTCCATGAGAAATCAATCCATTAGATTAATGAAGGAAACGTGCATAATTATGTGAAAATTATAAATTGAAATGAACTAGGAAGTGTGCCCTTTCGTCGTGACATAACGCCGAGTTTGTTGTTGCGGTTCATGTTTGTTTTTTCTTCCTTCTCCTCCATCCGTCTTGCATAACGAGATCTGCAATTAGAGGGAAAAAAAGCGTCGTGACATTTGTGCCTTGGATAGACCGATGTATTTGCATTATCCCACCTCGACCGCAGAGTGTGGTCTATATATTATATATCGATCGTAGCAGAAACGCACACTACTATTATATCCAAGTCCGGTGGGCATACCGAGTCAACTCAAGTCAAGTCAAATGGGAAAATATTCGTATTCTGGGAGCGAGCAGGTGGATTTACGCAATTGCTAATGAATTCCTTATAACACATGAGTTTTCCTATAATTAAACGTAATAGGAAATCTACTTTTTTTTTGTATACTTAGCAAATTCTATTCCGTTTAAATGCACAATATGCAGATTTGCTTTAATATAATATTGTTTTGAATATGAAAGAAGCAAATGATTATTATTTTTAATTAATCCAGTCGCGTGACGGCGTATATAAATATAGACTTTGTGTGTCCCAAATTGACTTTCTAACCGAAGGAATTTTTTTAATCGCAGCAAAGTCCATATTATATTGACTAATTATACGCAACCATCAAACGGAATCCATTGAACGGCGACGACTACTACAACAACGACAACAAAAAGGAGCAGAAAGAAATACAGGTCGTTTCCACTCGCATTGTTCGTTGTTGTGGTTATATAATGCCAAGGAATTAGATCATTATGCATACAAACAAGTAGCTCACATATGTACACAGTTTGTACATTGGAAGCGCCATCAATTGAACAAGCAAATTAACGCACTTGTGATGCGAACGTCGGGAAAATCGCATGCAGCTTTTCCTTCCAGCCGTGTTGTTGTTTAAAGCAAGTAACTGTAGAAATACAGTTATGACTCTCGACGTCCATGATTCTCTTTTCATTTCGTGCGTTTTTCTCTTTCTTCTTCTCCTTGTTTTGTTTCCGAACGATAAAAATGTTACGATTCCGGTACACTGACGGGGACCACAAGTGGGTCACCATTGCACATACCATCCATCTAGGTCGAAGAGAGTGACAGAGATCGATGTAACCGATGGTCGGACGTAATAGAAAGAGAAACGTATCAGTGAAAGTAGGATACGTGTATGCATAACGAAATTCTTTATTTTTTTCTGCGCGCAAAAGAAAGGATCATCTCGTTGATTTTGTTGACATTTTGTTTTTGCTTTTTTTTTGTAGGCCGTCGATTGGTGGTCCGTTGGTGTTCTGACCTACGAACTTTTGACCGGAGCATCTCCGTTCACCGTCGAAGGCGAGAAGAACACGCAGCAGGAGATCTCCCGCAGGATCTTGAAAACTGTTCCCCCGATTCCAGAATGTAAACTCAACCTAAACGTTGATTTCGTTCTTACGTTACTAATTTGTTTCGTTCGTTTGTTCAGCGCTCAGCAAATATGCGGCCGACTTCATCAGCAAACTCCTGGTGAAGGATCCGAAGAAACGCTTGGGCGGAGGTGAAGAAGATGCCAAAGAATTGAAAGAACACGCGTTCTTCAGGAAGATCGACTGGAAGGCGCTATCGCGTAAAGAAATACCTGCTCCATTTGTACCTGTAATTAGGTAAGTTATCAATTTATTATTTACTTGTTTCATAGTATAAATTAGGTATTATACTTCTACAATACAAAGAAATACTATTGTTCTTCAAGGATACTTAAAAAAATGATTATTTTTCATGATTCTTGTGTAGTCAAAATGTTACTAATTGTTATATTTTTTCTGTTGTTTTTTTCAGAACTGAATTAGATGTTTCTAACTTTAGTGAAGAATTTACCCAATTACCTGCCACCGACTCTCCGGCGGTGATACCGCCGAATTATGACAAGATTTTCAAAGGATACTCATACGTAGCGCCGTCCGTGCTTTTCTCGAAAAACGTCATATCTGATGATCTCCTGAGGCCGACAGTTCGCAACGAAGACAAACAGAAGCTTGTGGAGTGTCGCCTTAACAATTCACCGTTCTTCCAGACCTACGAACTGGACCTGAACGAGAAGATCCTAGGAGACGGATCATTCTCCGTGTGCCGGAGATGCGTGGAGAAGAGCACCGGAAAAGAGTTCGCCGTGAAAATCGTGAGCAGACGGACGGACTGCACGCAGGAGATCAACCTTCTGCGCGCGTGCCAAGGGCACAGCAATATCGTCAGTCTTCACGACGTGAAGATAGACGAAGGGCACACATACCTGATATGCGAGTTCCTGAAAGGTGGAGAACTGCTGGATAGAATCAGAAAGAAGTCGCAATTCACGGAATCAGAAGCGGCTTCCATCCTGAGGAAACTGGTGGACGCCGTCGGTTTCATGCATTCCCGCGGCGTCGTGCACAGGGACCTGAAACCGGAGAATCTACTGTTCACCTCCGACGGAGATGAGGCAGAGATTAAGGTCGTGGATTTCGGATTTGCAAGGCTGAAGCAGGAGCAGGAGGCTCTGCGGACGCCCTGCTACACATTGCATTACGCCGCGCCCGAGGTGTTGAATGGAAATCCTGATGGATACGATGAAAACTGTGATATGTGGAGTTTGGGTGTGATCTTGTATACAATGTTATGCGGTCGTGCGCCTTTCCATGCGCGATCCAGAGAAGATAGCGCCGCGGCTGTGATGGCTAGGATAAAAGAAGGAGAGTTCAGCTTCGATTCCGCAGCTTGGAACGATGTATCAGAAGAGGCCAAATCTGTTGTTTGCGGTCTGCTCACCGTTGACCCAGTTAAACGTCTGCAGATGGACCATCTCCGACATAACAGCTGGGTGCAAGGTATGCAAAACGTGCCGCAGACGCCGCTCATGACTCCAGATATTCTGTGCTCGAGCGGATCGGCTGAGAAGGGTCTGCAAACAACCTTCAAGGCTTTCCACAAGGCGCAACGCGAAGGCTTCCGTCTGCAAGACGTGCTCAACGCCAAACTGGCGCAAAGGAGACGCAACAAGAAGAGCTCGTCAGATAACAACAGCTCGTCGAGTAGCTTCACCAGCGAAAGCTCTTCCAAGTCTGGTTCCAGCACCCCAATCAGCACCAGGCAGGCTCAAGACCTGAAGCGATCAGATGATCATCACGTCAAGGCCGGTTCCAGCTCATCCGACAAGAAGGACAACGTCTTCTGCTTCGGTGACTACAAGGTCAAGAAGTATTTGCGCAACACAAGCGCCAGCCCGGTCTCACCCAACAACTCAGTCCTGAGTGATACCACAGTGAGGGAGTCGACCAGCTCCAGCGGCATCGTAGTCAGCGATAAGACTTCCATCGACACAAACGAAAGCTCCAGGAAACGCAAGCGATCAGTGAAGAAGTATGAGAGGACCAGACAAAGTGAACGTATCCGGCGCCAAAATCGCCAGGAAATCGATCAAGACACAATTATGTTCCTATCGTTACCCTACACGAGAAAACGGAAAAACACCAGCAATGTGCTCATCCACTTAGAGTAATCTCTCCATAAAGCAACATTAGGAAAAAAAAGGGAGAGGTCACCGCACGCGGAAAGCCAACGGGAAACAACGATAGGCAAATTTAATCAATTAATTAATTAGTTATTTATATAAACATACCTTCATATATAAACAGTTAAAGAAAAGATATGAAAATCGAAAGATACGCGAACTTGGAGGAAAACTTTAGTTTTTAGTCTTTATTATTTTATTTTTTGTTTGTTCTTAGTCAATATCATTTAGTAACCGTAAGTATTTTACAAGAAAAAAATATCAAGGAGAGCGAATGCAATGGAATCAAACATTGTTGTTTACGTAAAACTAGGTCAATTCACAAATTCACTCACTTACACACACATACACCCCGAGAAGTATTAGCGAGGAGAAACAATTAATTAATTATATGAAAGAAGCAAATCAATTATTGACCAATACCCAAAGTGTTTAATAATAAAAGAAAAAAGCAACAAAAAAGTTGAAATGAAAAGTGATCCTAAATGAGCGAAAAAAAAATCTTTATTACTTTCAAATATATACATATTAATATATATTGAAAAAAAAGTGTTACCAATTGTGCCCCAAATGTGTATGTATATATATTTGTATGTCAAAATATAAATTTATATATATGTAACGAAGAAGATGAAGATGAAGAAAAATTGAAGGAGTTAGGAGGAATTCTTGAAACGAATCAATTAAAATTACGTTTTGCTTTGTTGATGAATTGAATCGGTTATATTTGAAGAAAGAAGATTTGTATTTTGTACAAAAACAAAAATAGGACTCGTTTCGTGTTATGAATAATTCTTTTTTATATACATAAACAAAAGAATATATATTATATATTTAGTACATTGAATAATTGTAATTGAAACTATTTTTTAGATTCGAAGAGAGTTTGAGATGAGAGGAGAGAATAAAAAAAAAATAAGATTATATCCATCAAATAAAATATAATTTGTTTCGATTATTTTGCGAGAAGTATATTTTTCAAATTTGTGAAGTCTTAATTAAACATAACAGATACGGAATGTGATAAGCAGATAGAAGATATGTAAGCGTTACAAGTGATTTAACCAGAGGAGAACGGTTAATATATAGTAATTATTAATATAAAGGCGAAATTTGAAAGAATCGTTTTATGTTTTGTTTTGTTTTCTTTTTTTTGTACGTGGATGCTTCTTACACCGATTTCGAGTGGAGGAGAGAAAATGAATATTTTTGCATATAGTAATCCTGGCGACGTTTCGAATCAGTTAGTTGAATTTATTATAAATATTTTATATTGTGAGTGGGGAATAGAAAAAAAAAAGAAGAGAAGGAAAGGATTTTTATACGCAACGGATTACTATATTTTATAAGTGCACTTCGTATAGTCTGATATAATAAATTCTTTGAAATACCAAAAAAAAAAAAATTATAATTAAAAGAAAATAAATTAAGATAAAGAAGAAAAACGCAAACATAGAATGAAACAAAAAAAATAATAATAATAAAAATATATATATTGTGTAATTAGGAAATTCGATTTGTTTTCCATATAAATGTAACTTTTTTTTTTGTTGTTGAAATAATTAAGTGTACATAATTAATATCGAGGAAGCGGCTTCATTTCGTATATATGTTGTTGTCTTTTTTTTGTACATTGAAAATACATGTCTGCCCATTTATTATAGTTTTATACAAAGAGGGAGAAGAGAAAAGCAGACGTGAAGATGGAAGAAAATGATGGGAAATTGTGAAAAATGACACGTACATTTAATATAAAGTAATAACTTAGGAAATTAGTGTTGTCTCTATTAAAATTAATTACTTAATTAAAGAAAGAAGGAAAAAAAAGAAAACTTTATATCATCTTTATATGGATAGAATTACGGATATTTTACTAAGACCCAAATGCAAAAATTAATAATAATAATATTCCCGCGAATTGATCAACAAGTTTTTTTTCTTTTCTTTTCAAACATTTCAGTTACTTTTTCTACTCCATTCAAACACCTTTACTATTATTATTATTATTAATTACTTAGTTTATCATTATATTAATTATTGTTGTATTGTTAATTTATTGTTGCTGAGCAATTACACCTAGGTTTAGACACTTAACTCTAAGCGTCCGCCGTTCTGGATTTATCATTATAAGTTTTTAGTCACTTTTTAGAGAAGGGAAAATAAAATGAAGAAACAACATGAACATTTCTTCTCGAGTAAATCGTATTTCGTTTAGTTTAATTAATTAACTCTTATCGTTTGTTCATTATTATTATTAATATTATTTTTTACACTCAGGTACTATAAATATTATTTTTTACATATAAATATTGTAACTATGAAAAAAAAGAAGATATATGTGTGTGTATTATTAATTAATTTGGAATTGCTCACTGAAACAAACTTCATTTCGAATTTCGAAGTAATAATTTTTGTTTGTTTGTTACATGACGGTAAACAATAAACGAAAGATTTCCCTTTCGAATAAATCAAACTAGCAATGTATATTTTTTATTATATAATTAATATTATTGTCATTATTATTATTATCATCATTATTTTTTTTATTATGTTTAGAATTTACTATTATTATTATTTTTTTTTGTCTATTTGTTTTTTTTTATATAGTGTATAATTTTCGTCATTACGATTATCGGTAGGAAAAGAAAATGCGAAAGCAACAATTTGTATTCTGTACATTTATTTATATCCAAAGTATTTGTTTACTTATTATTTAATGTTTCTTCTTCCTGTGTATATGGGTATTAATGCTTTGTGTCGTTGAGACCAAGTAGACAGTGCCTTTCGACAAATTTAATGAAATAAAATAAACATGAAAAAAAAATAATAAAAATAAAATGAATATGAAATAAGGAGACAGAAGAGACTGTCTTGCTTGAAGGCAAAATATACTTCATATTGTTATATAATTGCCTTAATTATGTTAGTATTAAAAAAAATACAATTCTTTAATAAATCATCTGTGTTTCAATTATTTTCTTAAATATCTTATCATTTTTATTTATTTTTTTATTTTTACATTATTATCATCTTCATTACATTTTACTAAATACTAAATTTTAAACAACTACAATACCTCGTATAGTGCGGGTAATTAGTTTCGGACAGTTTAAAACCGGACTAATCGAGGTAATAATTACATATAAGAATAATTTTCATTACATTTATTTCAGACAATATAGATTCGTATACTAAAACTAAATTTTCTGAATTTAAATGAATTAAAAAACTCAAAATTTTATAAATAAATAATGATAATTTATATATGGAAAACTTCTTACAGAAATAATTTGAAAAAATGATGTGATGTGATTCATATCATTAAGGTTTCAAAGTGTAGTTAGATATAAAGAAGTAAAGAATTGCAATACCTAGCATAGTGCGGGTAATTGGTTTTGACTATTTAAAACCGGACTAATCGAGGAACTAATCATTTAAGAATCATCATCATCATTTTCGTTACACTTATCTCAAGCAGTGTAGACTTATATACTAAATTTACTGAATTGAACACGCAAAATTTAATAATTTGTATATGGGAAACTTGATATAAAAAAGTAAAGAACTGTAATACCTCGCATAATACGGGTAATTAGCTTCGGACTATTTAAAACCGGACTAATCGAGGAACTAATTACATATAAGAATAATCATTCATTCATTCATCATTACATTCATTTCAAGCAGTGTAGATTCATATACTAAATACTAAAATTTCTGAATTTAAATTAATTAAATAATCAAAATTTAATAATTTGATAATTTTGTGAAATTTCTTAGAGAAATAATTTGAAAAAAGAACTAGATATGATTCATTACATTAAGGTTTCTAAGTGTAATTAAATATAAAGAATTAAATAACAGCAGTATCTCACATAGTTCGGATTGTTTAAAACCGTACTAATCGAGGATATAATTACATATAAGAAACTTGACTCTAAATATTATAGAACAAGACCTTCTATATAAAAATAATGTTGTGTATTAGTTTTTATTGAATGAATCGAGTCCGCACTATGCGAGGTATTGCTGTATTTAATATGTGGTAGCAAGTATTATTCTCATTTTAAACAAATTTCAACTATTTTTGTGGTGATTACTAAGTCTGGTATAACTACGTCTACTGTAGTATCATTGTATATATCCCAAAATGATAAAAAGTACTTGAATCGATAATTCTATTAACACTTTCATTAACTTATGCTAATTTTGTTAGTTCTTCAACTGCAACATGCAAATATAAAAGTAGGTTTTAATGTTTTCTGTCTATCCTCTATCAAAGTTCAGACGCTTTGCGCTAGATGCCGCTAGAAGTATCAATGGATAATATACTAATCTATCTAAATCGGCAATATTTAATTAATTCAGATATTATAGATTTCAATTATAAGAATTTAATATATAATTATTATTGTCTCATTGATAAAATCTTAACACTTAGATTTAAATGATCATTAATGAATCAAAGCGTTAATAAAATATTTAATGATCATTTAAAGCTAATTTGAATACACTTACTTTGTACAATGATTTACTAGTTGACTTTTAAAATGTTATATAACTAATAAATTCCTGTAACAAAGAGCACAGATTATTTGTATGTAATTAAGACAAAAAAAAAATAAGTAATATACGTGCACCAGAACATTTCAGCACGTTGTCAATCTGAACGTTTAATAGAACTGATTTGGTGTTGAAAGTCACAAAGAAATCGATTTGAAAGCAAAAACTCTTTAATATTAAAAAAACGTTTATTTGCTAGAGAAAGAAACTTTGCAGAATATTTTATTGCTTGATTTAGGAATGAAAACTTTACACAATTTATTCAGTTTTAAAAGGATTTTTATAAATATTATTATAACATTTTTTGCAATTAAACGTCTAGTCTAGGTATCTACTTAAATTATGTGTAATTATATATTTATTTATTAATTAGAAGTAAATGTAAGAGTAATATTTTTTATTATCAAATTTTGTTAAACAGATTATTTGCTGCATAATTGTAATTTTTCAGGCATGAAAATAAGAATTTTATATTAATTAAGTTTACATCAATGTTTATGATATGTAAGTTTAGAATAAATATATTTTTGTTTAGTGAATTTTTGATATTTTTATTATGTTTAGATTAAAAGCTTTTTTTTTAGTATACGAAGATTTAATTTGTTGTTTTATATTTCAAATAAAGATTATATTTATATGTATAAATTTATTAAACACATTTTTCTTTAAAATTAAAAGGCAAAAAAAAATATAGTTAAGAACTTTCAGAATTTAATATTTTAATCAAAGTTTTATTAAGAACATTTCTTCTGTAATTAATAAGGAGACAATTAAACGAAGGATAATTAATAACATTTGTAAAATAGAATTGAAATATTTCAATGGTGGAACAGTTAGGATCTATGAAAGGAAAATTATTGCATTTAAATGCATGGATGTGGCCCATGGGAAGACGCCGAGATCCAAATTAAATGCGTTCACTTCACGTTAGGAATGCAATAACGGAGCTGCAAGAATAGAACCGCAGTAAATTTCGTTAACCTAATGGAAGTTTCCGTTCCTGGATGTAACATTAAAACTGAAATTCGTTTCTCACACACCCAACCAACGATATATAATTTATGTTACAGGTAGATAAGAAATTACAACCGAAGGAATTTCAATAGATACAATTAGACAATTAGAAGATAACTAATATAAATCATATGATTAAACTTTTTTTTTCAGGAGAGACAAACAAATATTTACTGTTATATTATATTGTCCAGAAAGCACTTGTGTCAGATGGAATGTTCTAAATGGATGAGTTTTCTAGTCCAGGTTTCCTCGTGAAGTTTGCCATTTTTTCTGTTATCTTTGCCACAGTCTGTCTCTCGCATCCGTTTTGCTAGCGCCCTTTGACCTCTCTTTTCTCTATGTGGCAAGTAGTTCTATAAGTGGCACTTCTGCTATTACTTGTACATCATCTCTTGAGATTGTCCGATAAGCACTGCATATCCTGATTTCACACTTTCGCTGGAGATTAAACTTAATTTAACGCGTAACAACTACGGACAAATAAATAAATTAGTAGTATGGGTCAAAATGACCTGTTTATTAAAAATTTAAAAGAAAATGGAAAACATTATTAATTTACACAATAATCACAGATTAATTCTTATTATTTAATGTATTTAACATCACTTAAAACTGATTATATTGCTTAAAAAAGTCTGGACACAAAATGTTACTGTTTTCTTGTCGCTTGGACAAAAAAAACACCTGTTTCTCTTGGAATCCAAATATTGATAATATTTCAAGAACTTATTTATTATAGACGGGTCATTTAGAGCCGAAATACACTCAACAATATAATAAGTATCTCTACTGAAAATACTAGAATAACTTGAAGTTTAACACTGCACAATTAAGGTGGGTCATTCTGACTCATTTGTAGTACTTACGAGTTGAACTAGAATCATTTTGGATAATTTCATTTATAAATGATATTAAACATATTTTGTTTGTTAAAATTTATGATCACTTTTCATTTCAGTAAAAATATACTTTCTTTATTCATATTTTTTTCAGAATCACACAGATATGCTTCGTTTTTATTAAATTTTTGTATTTGATTCTGTAGTGGTTCCATGAAGACAAACTTGATAGAAGATTTCAACATATTTATTTGAAATAAAGAAATATTTCAAGAAACTTAAAATATTTAGATTTTTTTGTAATTTCAATGGAATTATTAGATAATTTTGCAATTCACAATAATTTTTATAATTTTGTTAAAATCATTATTTTTTTTTAATTATTCTTTTAAATTCATAAATATATTTGCATTGTTCGATTAAAATCGAAGATTAAGACAATTTGGCAATTCCCTTCTAAAAGGTACTGTAATTTACTGTAATTACTGTAATTTACTGTAATTTTTATAAAATTATTAACTTTTCTTCATTTATTCTATTAAGTTTTTAGGTATATTAGCATTATTTGGTTAAAATCGTAAAATTACAGAATTTTGTTAATTCTCTCACAATTTACTGTAATTTTTACAATTTTTCTAAAAGTCGTCAATTTGTCAACAATATATATAAATATATTTGCATTTGTTGATTCAAATAACAAAAATTAGAGAATTTTGGCAATTCCATTACAATTCACAGTAATTTTTGTAATTTTGTTAAAATCATCAATTTTTCTTTAATTATTCTCTTAAATTCATAAATATATTTGATTAAAATTGAAAATTTAGTCAATTTGGTAATTCACTTCTAATTTATTTTTATAAAATTATCAACATTTCTTCAATTATTCTATTAAGTTTTTAGGTAAAATCGAAAAATTACAGAATTTTGTTAATCCATTACAATTTACTGTAAACTTTATAATTTTTGTTAAAATTGTTAATTTTTATTCAATTATTCGAGTAAATTCTTAAATATGCAAAATTTGCTTTAAATAAAAAAAAATATAGAATTTTAAATCTTAAATTCATAAAATATTTGATTAAAATTTAGACAATTATCAACTTTCTTACAATTTACAGTAATATTTATACTTTTTGTGAAAATTATTTTAATTCTGTTAGTTTTCATGAAATTATTCTATGTAAATTCAAAGTAAATTAATGATGAGACAATAAAAAGTTAGATAACAAAAATCAACTCGAAAACTTTTATTATAAATACTTTTTTAATAAATAATAAATCACATAAGTTAATGCATATTATATAACATATTTTTTTACAATCTGAAACTTCTCTAGATTTTTTCCTTGACTTTGGGATTAAAAAAAGAAATAAATATTAATTGAGTTTATATATTGTAACAAATGCTGAAGGACTGATATAATTTTCTTCGATTCAATCGAAAATGTCGCGCGATCTGCAGCCTTTACTGAAGAACACTTTGCTGGCGCTCGGACTGTGCGGACTGAATCCTTTGAAAACAAACCTTTTCACTCCGATCCAAAAGGCCGTAACGCTGCTTTCGATTGCAGCAATCTTCGTAATTGGCTTTCTCGAGATTCCGCTCAACTGGAAAGGAATCGAGACGCTGAGCAACATCGAGCTAACTCCAACAATGTTCATGGTTCAATATATAATCCCGTAAGACTCTTCGTTAATATATAAACTTAAATTATTTACAGGTGACTAGCAAATGTTTGTTTTTGATATTAAACCAATCTAAGATCGAATCGACTGTAATTAGTTTGGAGGAGTTTTGGTCTTTGGATAAGTTTGGAGATGAGTTTAAGGCTAAAGTGAGCCGGTATCATGAGGTTGGGTATACAGTGTTGAAAACGTACTTTATGTTTTGTGTATTATGCACTTTGGCGCTTTGCGTAGCGCCTTTTGTGACTGGTAATAATAAATTGATTTTTCCTGGATACGATTTTTGCAAGAACTCTTGCTTCGAAGAGCAGCAAGTTTGGCAATCTTTAGCTTTAACGTTCCAAATGATCCCAGTCGCCATAGGTTTTGATTGTTTATTTGCAAGCTTCATCGCCTATGGATTTGTTGGTATAGAGATGGTCAAAAAGGCATTCCAAGATCTTCTCCTCGTCTCAACGAATAACGATGATCACGACTTGCTCAGAGCTAATCTGAAGGCATTAGTAGACCAACACAATTTCGCCTTAAAGTGAATTAACAACATTTGTAAAGAATAACCAGATTTTCATTCCTTATTTTAGATTCATCAAGGATTTGAACACGATCTACTCACCTATTTTGTTAGCACAATTTTGGTCTACTCTTGGAGGATTAATTTTCCTTCTCTATTTCCTAACAATCAACGGGTTAGTACATATTCTACAGCAATACCTCGTATAGTTCCGATTTCAGATCCACCAATATTTGTTCGAAACCGCACTAATCGAGGACTGCATAAACACCATTTATGTATAAAAATACTGAATTGATCGATTAATGTACACTTATCAACCAAAATTTAGTATTCCAGCACTCGATGGACTGTTACGTTATGGACAACTATGCATGCTTTTGGTCTTCCAACTTGCTCTTTACGCAGTGGGTGGAACTATAATCAATGAACAAGTATAAATTAACTATATAATTTTTTAACACAACTTTATATTAATTATTATTTTATTTTTTTAGACTTTCAGCATTGGTTTCGCAGCGTATTCAGTCGATTGGCACTTGAAAACCCAAAGCGTTTTACGCAAAGATTTGTCCCTCATCATTTTGAGATCTCAAAGACCAGAAAGAATGACTATAGGAAATATGTCTATCTTAAATATGGCAACTTTTCTTGATGTAAGTTAGTGTTTTTTTTTATTACAAATAATTTGATTTATTTTTTCTTTCCAGACCGTAAGAACATCTATATCAATTTGCGCTTTACTGAAAACTATTTCTACAAATACTAATTAAAGTTTATTTCAAATAATCCATAAATTATTTCATGGTGAAAACTTAATATTTGTCATCTTTTAGCTTGATGATTTTTGAATTAAAATATTCACATTAATTATACATATTATGAAATAAGCACTTAGACATAAAATGATCAATAATTCTTAATAAATCTTAAAAAGTAAATTTATAAGAATGTTATTTTTTTTGTTATTGTTGGTTGGTTCAATGAATATTCATTTGTGAAATACACGATGTTTATTATTATTATGAATTTGATTTGTTTGTCTTGTTCACGACTGTGCGTCCATTTCTTTTACTTCTTTTCTTCTCCGTCCTCGACATAAATCCCAATTTCGAATGGGATTGCCTTTCTCGGGACTTGAAATACAATGCGGCCATTATATTTAAATGTATATCATCCCATTATTCCGCGTTCTCCGAAAGGAAACGAGTGCGAAAGTTTTCTTGTGTACACTCGAGGGGATGCAGAACAAGACAGATCATATTGAAGAAGTTCCTCGAGACTACAAAAA